GTTACTGCTGATTACCATAAGAGTACATGCAACTTTTAAGTCACTATAACTTTTCAAAAAACCCATGAATTGATTTAAAATTTTGCAGGTATCTTTTTGATAGTAATAGGAATCTATAATAACAAATTCAACATGCTAGCATTGTTTAAGTGAATAGCCTATACATCCTTAAATCAAAGCGCACTTGTTTACGATTCAGTTAAATCAGAAAGTGTAAAAAAAGAACGCAAACGAATGAAAACTTGTGTCTTCTTGGAAAATCGGCAAGCGTTGAATCGAATCGTGCCATTAACGCGAGCCACTTTTTCCCAGTAAACTCGAAGGTATAAAACTGTAGAGTTTAGTTCGTGTACCGTCTACTTCTGGGCCGCTTTCAAAGAGACCGAATAAAAGGAGAAGCGAGAGACTAATTTGTCTCCCCTTTCCACGAAACGGGTCAGCTGTAAATGGGTTTAAATTACGAAAGACAGAAATTCAAGCCAAAGCAAGCGAGCGAAGAGTAGACTGTACAGTAAACAGTAGAATAGTAGAGCAAACCAAGAGAAGTTCGCATAAAGAATAAAAAGCCGCGCGGGCGACGGATGACCCGTCCCTAAAAAAGACGGTGCATCCCATCGACCTTGGAATCCCTCCCGGAGACAGATGACCCGTGCGCGAAACGCAAACAAGGGAACGCGAGAGCACAGTCATCAGCTAACCTACATTTACCATCGAAGAGCAGGGCAAACGACTACGTGTATACAGCCGAAGGCGGTCCAGGGACCATTGCACCAGCGGTTATGAATGGAGAAACTTCTCGCGTAAACGTTAACACGGCAACGACCGCATATAATCGGCCGGCACGAAGGATAGGAATTCGGCGAGTCTCGTTACATACTCCTGCGTGCTCCTGCGATAAATCTGAAGAAGTTCTACATATAGGTCAAGTTTTCTGCCACGAGTCATCTCGGTTTGGATTAATGCGACGTCGCTGTGTTCGGTGACTCATGTACAATGACACGACGTATGCTACAAGTGGGTACATGCCTTTCTGAGGGTAACTGAACGAACGTGAGTTTTAGCAAGATCTGCGGCTATCGAGCCTCTCGCTCTCTCGGTCCGTTCCGCGACCGTTTACCCGACGCATACATAAATATCGGTGTGTGCGAAGAACGCCCGTCCCTCCCTCGTCGTGGGCACGTACATAAGTATGTACAACGTGGCTGAAGGTGGAGTGCGCATTCCTCCGTGTAAATATACGAACCGGGCGGAGGAGGAGGAGTCGTGTCGGTGAAAGTGGCCAGTAGCTAGGGTACATATATACCGTAACCGGGGGGATGAGAGAAAAGGAGGAAGATGAGGAATACACGTACACGGAACGACCAACACCGAGAACAATGAAATAAGCAACAGGTACGCGTATATACACGCCGGGTGTGTACGTGTGCTCACGCACCTGTGCAACGGTGTGCGGAACCGTATGTACCTCGTATATAGGCTAGGTTCACCCTACGCTAGGTATCAAAGCTCGATGCACCGTCTCTTTTTCTCCCGCCCTTCCTTTCCCTCCACAATCGTTCACCCCTTTTATCACCCTCCCTGCCTCTTTTTCGCTCCGAAGGCCCGTCCGTCGTCCTTCTTCCCTCCACGCGGATGAATCGCAAATGCGGCCGTCGCCGCTGGACATACGTTAAATTGAGCGGAAGGAACGAGCTCAATGCCAAGGTTCTTCCGCATTTCCCGCCCGAGCCGTTTCAGAGACCAAGAAAGCAGGGATTCTTTACCCCCGATATACCATATTTTTATATTAATAAAAATCTGTATTCCTGTGAGTAGACTCGTTCTTTCGACGCACAGAAACACGAGAACAATGCTTTCTGAATTCAGAGAGGTTTCATAAAACGTAGAAAATAGGTTTGTCGATGCAGCGATTTTTACCGACTCATCCGTGAAACGCGCATATGATGTAAGCCATTTCAGAAGATATACCGCGGGCATAGGCGAGCATAATATCATTGTTTGCGGATTGGCCGCATTTTACCACTCGGGTAATTAATTCCATTAACTTACGGCGAGCTCAAATAAAAGCTTGTATCGGCACGGAATTGTAACGCGCGGCTACCAATTCTCTATGTATCGAATTAATGAAGTTGGTAACCAACGTTGCCAGATTCTGACTTCCCCCGCGGTCCCCGCCGACAAAAGTTAATTACCGCGGGCAGATAGCATGGGCGTGGGCGTGATTAATTATCACGGCGGAGCGACGAACTGGCACCTTTACCGGCATATGCAGAAATTTATGGAACAGGTACTTTGTGCTGTTTGGGAAATAATACACGGTTTAATTACGAAACAGCGTCGCGCGCGTGCTCCTGAAATTACGAGGAAATAAAATTACGGTAACGAACGAGGAAAACATTACAATAGACACCGTCAATGCCTCAATTCAAACGTTCCTCTCCTTACCACGTCACGTGAGGTCAAATTAAAAAGCGAAGTAGAAAAGAAAAATCCGACGTCTGATAATAACACTTGTACAAATATTGTGTGAACCAAATCTACTGAAACATCAGCGAGGACAACTCAATTTACGAATCGAAATCCTAAATCGTGTGATCTCGGTGACGTTACCAGTTACGATACAGATACAAACGTATCGGTGACTGTTTGAAATGAGCACGCGTTTGTTGTGGTTATACACTTGCTGTATCAGAGTGCATCAAGTACTGTTATGCGTCGGCATGCGTGACGCAACAGGAAAGAGTTGGTTGAACTTGCCGGAGAAATTATTTGGAACTGGTATTATTCGCGTACATCGCGAACCGAGATAAGCAAATGCGTTTTAAAAGACATTTTCGCGTTTCCTAGACCCGTTACGCATCTACGTGTCCGTTTCTGAGTGGAAACGCGGCAATAAAGGGAAAAGTAATTTTGCGAAGTGTTGTTTGCACGCACGTAATTCATATTACTATTGAAACTGTTTTAACGAATTTTGAATACTGGTCTAGCGATATTAAATGCATATGTATATATATGTATATATCACTGACTCGCTATAATTTAGTAGAAATAGTAGATGAATTTATATCTCCATGTTTATCAACTGTGATGACTGCGTTAATACCATGGTCACGCTTTTAAACCACGTTACGGTCCTCAACTTCGCGTGTGTGTAAATTTTATCTCCGAGCGCGATAAATTCGATGGTAAAATTGGGAATCGAAAGTAATTCGAATAAATAGAAAAAAGGACGTGCATTCGATATTGAAAGTAAAACGAGTAACGTGAGGTCCAAAGAATTAATTCAAAGCAAAATTGTAAAACCTATTGCAATTATTGTAACAATAAGGAAATCGTGGATATGTACTAAGATGTAATAAGGGATCTATTATGATTGTAATCTTTAATCAACCACGTAGTTAATTAGCAACTCATAATTAATTCCTCGCAGAGGATAATATCTCATTTACCAACACACGAGGGAACTAACTTTGAATTAAGTCTTCCACTGACTTAAAGCTTCGCGTGTTCTCATTAACATATAGAATTTCTTACCTTTCGCAAAAACTCCGCCCCGTTCATTTAGACACGTCGTGTTGCACTCGATCAATCTTCCACCCAAACGATTTCCGTGGAATCTGAAACAACAATGAATCGTCGATCATTCGAAAAAAGTACACAGGTAATCGACGAGTTTAAATGATAAAAATTAGAACGCCAAAAGATTTTGATCAGTCAATCCTGGTTCACCCTAAAAATTTTCTAAGCCTCGCCAGGAGCTTCAGGGGAGCAATTAAAAAACTAATCATTAATTAAAGCAGAGCACGAAACAATAAAATTAATCGTTTGTATTATCTCCTCATGAGCGCGCGTAATTATATTAACGCAATTAACGAACCCCTTCGCGTTCCTCGAGCAAGACGCAACGGGGCTCGCTTATGCATGGCCGAGGGAGCATCGAGACGCGCGTTGGCCGCCAGCGTCGAGCAGCTGCGCGAAACAGCCGGCTGGACTGGTATACCATAACATACGTGCACGCACACCTCAGGTATAAAAGTGCATTAATGTTCCTCACGGACTTCGCTCGCGACCGTGTTCGTCTTCCCATCGTGGCAAACCCCCCGGATCAGCCGAAAATTGATCGGGGGAACCGATAAGGATCCACAATTTGCCCGTACAAGAAACGGACTCGCTACAGGGCTCAACGTTAATTCGAGTGTCGGATAATTATCGAATCACGTAGCCGAGAATATATTTTTTTGTACGCTTCATAACTGTACTCTGGTCACCTCGATTTTCACGCCTATTTAAATAGTCGATAGAAAGATGTAAATGGTAATCGTGAACCATGAACCTGTGCATTATCCCGTATCATCAATTCCAAATATTCTATCTTGTTAAAAGAAAAGATCTCTTAATAGCCGCGCAATCCAGCAATTCAAATGCGACGTGCGGGTAATTACGCTGCTATCTGATTCCCGTAACCCTTTCTGCTTCCTTGCGCAGATCCCGAGAGAGCGATCTAATTTCAGAACGAAAGGGTGGCAACACAGAAGATTCATAAACTAGAAAAAAGTATGTACAGCCGATGATTTCGAAATTTCGAGCTGTGGCAAGCGGAGGTTCGACGGTCGATGGGAGCTGTTCATCCTGCTGTCTCCCCGCTCGAAGGACGAGCGCATACCGGAAATGGCTATAGTGACATGCCATCCGTGCTATAGGCGAGGAACGAGAGCGGGGCCTGGTGTTCAGGCCCACATGTGCGCCGGCACAGCTGTTCCTTCGTACTTGCGTTCACTGCTCGCCACAGGCTAAATTCTCTTTTCTACTTTTACAATTTATGTATGAAAACTAATGTGCATAGCTCGATTGCAAAAATCAAGTTTTTGCAGTAGAAAAATGGTAATAACTATGTTATTACAAATAACAGGAGAGCAAATGGGAATGTAAATAGATGGTGTTCGTGTATCTGCACGGGGTTAATGAAAGTTGAGAGAAAAAGAAATGGAGCAGTCTAGCTCGGTTAGAGATCAAGGTAAAGTGAAAGAGACAACGCCGAGCGACAATTTCTATGTATGTGGAGCACGAGTAAAAAGAATCGGCGAAAAAGGAACCGGGAACGTAGTAAAAGTTTCCACCGTCCCGACGTTTAAAAGATATCCTTGTCACTTTCTTTCTACTCATACTTTCTCCCCGCAGAATTCAACGTCGGTGCATTCCACCTTGCATACATTTGCCCACCGTCGCATTATTTGTTATTGTTAGAAAACAGTTTCGCGAAGTGCACGAAATAAGATCAGTGAAATCGAAGGTCTAGAGCAATGGGAAATACCATGGCTGGTGATAAAAATGAATTTGAAATTTCGACGATCGTGGCAAACGTTTCATCATCGCCTATTAAATTCGCGATTAGATACGATTTATTGGCCGGCGATCGATGAAATTTGCAACGACATATCACGATCTCGAATAGAATTGATAAGAAGAGAATGGAAATTTTATTGGTCGAGAATGAAGCGAAATAAGTCCGACCACGAATTTATATCAGAAACGAGAAACGTTCGAAAACTGTTCCTCGAATTTTATATGCTTCATCATACTCGTCATCTCCTTCGTTATGAAGTTACGATCAATCAGAGCCGAAACATATGACATAGAATCGTGTAGCAAACTGACGAACATAATTATGGTTGAAACATTGGAACGGCCGTCGCGATCTCGAGAGAATCGATACGGAAACGTAATTAACGTGTGCCGCACTATTTTCGTATTCCGATCCGCGTCGAAACCAGGCGCCTTACGACGGTCCTCTTTGGGGAACTTTCCGCGTTCGCCGAATCGCGGTCGGTAACTAGTTCCCTTCTCGGATGCATATGCCGCGTACTATGAGCCCAATTCCGCCAGAAACGATTGCTTCCCTTTTCGACGTCCTGACGTATCGCCGATACTGCAGCTACCTTCCATTCCCGGCTTTTCTTCCCCGCGATCCCACGATTTTGTTCACGGTATGGATCTCCCACCCACGAGCGAGACGAAACGCGGTCTCTATCTCGCCTCGTCTCTCTCTAGCCACGCCACGTTCGCACGCTTTCTCTGTCCCGCCCCGTAGCACAATGTCTCTTCTATTTCTCTACACCCTGTTCTCTCGCCGCTTTATTTCTCTTTACGTTTTCATCGTGTCCGCAGCGGTGATAGTTTTATTTGCGCGAATCGAAAAATATTAAGCAACCAGCATTATATAATGGGGACGCACACGTCCGCCTCGCTCGAGCCGAATTGTCCTCGATGCCAGCGCGGCACTTACTTTTTAAATAAGATCGAACGCTCACAATTTCGCTCGTTTTCTAAATCTTGTGATTACCGAAAGGAAATGCTTTCGAGGGTAGGTCGAAGCGCAGAAATAGTAAAGCCGAACCGGAGTCTGCTATTGAAAGCGGCCGCGCTAGAAGCTCGAGGCTTCTTGAAAATTTAATGCACCGAGTGTAATTATATTTAGCGTCAGCTTACATCGATTTTCAAGAGAACCATGAATGCTCCGAGTTATTAGAAATTGCTACAACCACGTCTAATAAAATCTCTGTTACGTATTAGAAATATTACGGTTGAAATAATATAAAGACGAAGAAGTACCGTAAATATGAAAGCAAAAGGTTGCTCAATCGTGGCAGCTCCGAAATTTCATCGTAAGCGTTCCGGAGCCACGATACGTTCGCTGTTACAAAACAGCCGGCCTTCAAACCGCTCCCACCACCAGGTCGGACCTCGGTCTCTCCTCGTGCGCCACGCTTTCGTCATCGACGAGGACGGCGACGAGTTCCCAAGTTCTCGAGGCTCGCCCGCACGATATTCTAAACGCCGGCCGTGATACAACAAAACCGCGGGGACGTCTTTACGCAACGCTATCTCTCGATTCTCTGCTTTATCAGCCACCGATATCTCGCGGCACTTTGCTACTTTAAATTCGTCAATCGCGTTATTTCAAAAATAAGATCGACTTCCATCGCCTTTCCCCCGAAGCTATTGCTTCAGACTCGGCTAAATTACGAGTCAAAAGATACTCGAAACAGACCGTTAGATCTCAAATAATTATGAATATAAATAGCATCGTGTAAGCTATATACTTTATTCAATGTTCAAAATATCGCAGACTTTATTGCTCAAATACAACTTGTACGCTGTTGCACGTTCAGACGCTCGCAAGGAACTATCCTTGCTTCGACTCGTCGCTTTCCCAGCGTCTTTTTTAGGGGGTGAAAATATGTTGGGGCCTTATCGGCCTGGCCCAAACAATATGGCCCGTGACTCGGGCATCTGGTTTCTGTCAGGCAGGCCTCTTCCTACGCAGTTGAACTCTCGACTTCGCTTACAATCGCGCGAAATAGAATTTTTCTATAGTCTTCTTATCAACTTAACGATTATAATTATGAATATTGAATAATGTTCTCTTGAAAATCATGTTCGTCACGTACGGACTCGGTCCCAGTATAGCAGGAACGTCTGGGTACTCTGGGACACGAGTTTAGATCTGGTCAGTTATTCATACAGAATCGAGTTACAAAACCGAGTTGTAAAAGGTCTACATTGACGTTGTCTTATATCACGTAGCCGGCACCGGTACCATCAGCATCAACGCAACGCTGCTTGGTCTGCTCTACCCGGTGCTGAGTCACTGCTACGTTGCCGATACACACGTATCCACGGTATTGCCGCTCCGCGTTGCCACGTTTCGCGTTCTCCACCACGCCCCTTCGTCCGACACGATAGACGTCCATCCCCACTAACGGCGAGGGGAAACGAGAAGGACGAAAAGAGGAATAAAACGAAGACGGAGAGACCATGACGACGGCACTACTGCAGAAGAGAGAGAGGAACCGAACGCGGCGATCTACAACGAGAGAGAGAGACGAGAGGCAGAAAGGAGAAAAGAACCGGAATGAAGGAGGACGGAAGAGGCGTCGCACCGCGTGTTCAAATTTCATTGCGTCGAGCCGAGCTCACGGTGCTCTCGCGTCTGCTTAGCCGCGGAATTCACGGAAGACGTCGGTAATGGAGTTTCGTGAGATAAACGGCAGCAGCGACGCCACCGCGACACCGAGGTGGCCCTGATAGGGATAGGGTTACCAACGGGGCAAAGCGTTTTCGAAACGCCGCACGCTTTTAAATGCGCGTTTGTTACGTAACGGAGGTTGCACGACTCGAAGAGCGTTCGGCTCCGGGTCTGGCCGCTTTCCTACGATCTGCGAGAGCTCGAGACGGCGAGTCAACAATTCTCGAAAGGCGCGAAAACAATCCATCCATCAGGGATGTTTACGGGCGCGCCACGCGTTGCTCTCTACTTCGGTGCGAGTTGGCCAGACTTTGGCGAGCCCGCTTTGCGCTCTGATTGCTAACGCGCTTCTTAAATCACGATCCCGAGTTAAGCTACGGTTGAATCACATTTCGCGTTTGGCGAACGGGGACGTGCTCTCGTCGCATTCGGAAAAACGCCGAGCGACGCGACCAGATCTCTTTTCTAATCTAATTTAATCCTCGTTCTCGTAACGTTCAAAAGTTTCGCATCCCAATGGTTTCATGGTTACGGGAGCCGACGCGCGGAAAAGATTGCAAATCGAAAAGGTGGGCGAGTAATAAAAAATTC